AAAAAAACAATATCCATATTTCACTGGAATACGAATGTGTTGCAAACGTACTAAATATACACTTTGTCTCAAAGGAGACATGTTTTTGAATATAACGTAATGTATTATAATGTAATCAAAAATACATATATTAAAACATATAAGCAAATTTATAGATCACATAAAAAACAAACTTATTACCATTTCCGCATTTGCATATCTCCTATTATTATTCTATCAAGAAACCATGACGAGTCATCCCCTAGTCCAGAAGAGTCATGCCAGATATAACAATGTTCCAAATCACCTAGACTGTCTTGGACAGTGAGATAGAATTGATTCACACTACCAGCACCGAATACCTGCAATAAATAGTGAGGTCAAATGTATAATTATACATTTGGACTGAATAACAAAAACACAACAACAAAATAGGCGGACCAACTAAATACGGACAGACATAATGACAACAGCCCATTCGACCTCATTTCTGTTAAAGCATACATGTGAACAATACATTACAATACTATCATGACAATGTCTATTACCTTTCCATATTGATCTTTGAGATGTCTAGTGCCTGTATCACCACTACTTCCAGACAACTTGAATGAAATGTTGGACCTAGTCCCCGCTTTGCTGTCATGGCCAGTGTATACCGTAATGTGATACAGGAATCTATCCAATGGCTTATTATCGATTAAAGGAGTAGCGCTCCACTGAAAATAAACACAGTTTTAAAATATTCATCACATTTGAAACTTGAAACATTTACGTCAATAAATAATGAGAACGCATAATTTTTTTTCTTACCCTTATTCGGTCGTCTTTATCCTTCTTTCTCATGTAATACAGCAACATGAAATAGACGATCATAATAATAATCACAACGGAAAAGACCAAAGCATTGTCTGCAAAATTTGCAAGCCCACCTTGGACCCTATCCCAGTCTATTGTGTTTACAGGTACATAGAATGAGTGAATTCCAAAGTTTGTTAGGTGATTGCACCGGCATATGGTATGATTCGGTTGAGACAAGGGACTTACCTGAGTAAGGAATAGACAAAATAATGTTAATTTGGACACTAATATTACGGATAGTTCACTCACGCCTTCCTTCCTATTATTCAACATTAAACATTTTAAAATTTGTGACTTTCACCCTATTTTTTATTTTTTCAGTTGGCTTAGAACTGTTACGATTCCATCACCTTCTAGATATGCTGCCTATTGAGCTTATCAAATGTTGATCTGTGGCTAGTGGTAAGGTATTACGACTCTGCCGTGTAAAAATTGAAATTATCCCCGGGGAATTTGTGTTATTGATATTCTTGGAATAAATACATTTGATAGAAATATCCCAAGACACGTGCACAAACATTATACTAAGCATAAGTGAAAAAAGCAC